GCTCACAGTTCTCCAGACATCCTTTATTCTTTTCTTATGAGCTACCTCAATGTGTGTCGATGTACTGGGCTTCCCTGTGAACCTCCAGGCAGAACTCAAGATGTGCCTTGCTCATTTTCTCTCACCACCATCAACAAGACAAGTCCATGGCCAAAGCTTTCCCATCATCCTCCACTCACATTCCTGCATGGCCCCGATGTCTCAGTGCACCAGGGTCTGTTAAAGCCAGGAGTCTGGAGTACACATAAGCTGTGGAATTGGTTCATTTAACAGATCAAGGCAGCTCCCTGGCTAGCGTACTCCTCACATGTGACCCCTGTTGTAAAGACTGAAATCAAAGTATTCCCTACAATGGCAGGAACAAACGTGAGGGCAACAAATGGAGGCTTTAACTTTGTGCTCTTATTTCCCCAACCTTTCTTTGGTGCCTTGATTTATATTGTGTAGACAGTTGAGCTTGGACCTCTGAGTTAAACTGGTCTGTCTTGTTACGGCAGCAAATGCAGAAGGCAAGATTTTGCATGGCAGACCTTTATCTGGAATGGACGTGAGTAGGTTATGGGGGTTTTATTCAAACGTTTTAAGAACTGGTTTTGAAGTTTTGATTTGCTTCAGAGGTTTAAGAAAAAACGTACAGAAGAGTTGGTGGTGCTACTTTCCAGATGATGCTCTTGTGAAATTCCTGGAAATACATTACATTTTTTGTCTGTTTTCAAAGAAAAGTCCTCCTTGTGGTTGGTTCCTTTGCTGATATATGGGGTTTTTAACATAATTTTGCCCAAATCAAATTTGACTTTACTTACTCTTAATTGAAAAAGATCCACAAATGTACAAATAACTGAACTGAAAGGAAGCAAGCAGATTAACTAGCGAAGAGAGGGCACATAGCTAAAGGTTTTATAGAAACTCACTGCTAAAAAAAGCTGGAACATTACTGTGTTTGAACAGTGCCCTAAGCAAAGCAGTCTCAATCCAAAAACAAGTAAGGATTTGTTAAAAGATTGTTCTCTGCATTTTTCCTTATTCCTCTTATGATACTAAACATATTTTCCCATTTTTTAAAATTATTTCACTTGCTCTCTTTAATTTTGATTTGCTGTTCAACTTGCTGAGGAGACAGACTTGACTTTCCGAGACAGTGTCTGTAACAATGAAATGTTGAAAAGGGTATTAAACAGAGGGGCTCATTGTGATGAAGTTATAGTGATTAATCCTGCAAACACTTAGTGTACACTGGTTTCAGAGTAAAAGCCGTGTTAGTCTGTATTCGCAAAATCGGATGCATCCGATGCATCCGATAAGTGAGCTGTAGCTCACGAAAGCTTATGCTCAAATAAATTGGTTAGTCTCTAAGATGCCACAAGTCCTCCTGTTCTTTTTAGTGTACACTGTAATCTCACTGAGAAAGACAGGACTACTCTTAGTAGAAGAGTTGGTGTTCCTGGCAACTTATTACTGTTTACTTTATCAGTTTGTTTTAAAACCTCTTCTGTTGACACCTTGGTGTGGGACAAGACTTCCGATTTGTCACCCAAAAAGGATAGCTCTGAGTAGGGATCTCCCCCACATCCTCTGCCGTGACGATCAAGGCAAAAAATGCATTTAGCTTTTCTGCAACGGCCTTGTCTTCCTTGAGAGCTCCTTTAATACCTTCATTGTCTAGTGGTTCCACTGCCTCTTTGGCAGGCTTCCTGCTTCCAGTGTACTTTAAAAAATTCCTACCATTAGTTTTTTCCAAATGTAGTCTAGCTGGAATTAGAACTAACAAAGTCAGACCCAAAGTAAGTCTAATTGACTTGATTTTTCCCCTGTTGAATAGTTAGGGAGTACAATCTGGATACAACTCATCACAGGATCCTTGATAATCAGGATTATCTGAGAACCTGACTGTTGTCAGGGACTTTTGGTGGGTTGTTTTTTTACTGCTACGTCTGCATATGTAATGGGTAGGTGTTAGAACTTGGTTTTCTTGAAGGTAGAGGTCTAGCTGCTGGAAGGGAATCTGATGTTGCTGTAATCTAAATCTCTTAACCACGTCTCAAAAACTTTTCAGCACAATCTTACTCAAACGCTCTCTAGAGCGGTGGCCAGCCACATTTTGGTGGCTCTCATTTTAGTCTTTTGGTTTATGAAGCCTTATTGGTAGCCACCAAACTAGAAGAGATTACAGGTCCAATTCTTCGATCGCATCCTCCAGATTTACATCAGTACAATTAGGCTAATTTCATTGCAGTTACTCCTGATTTACATTGGGGCAAGTGAGTGGAGAATCAGTCCCTGCGGCTTGCCCTGAGCCTTGTTTTCAGGATCTGTAACACATATTTCTACTGTAGTAAAGTAGAAGGAATATTTTCTATTTTGCCATCAATACTAGCGTGATGAGAATCCTTTACTCCAAATACGCTGTTATGTCCAGACTTCTGGTGATTGCAATTTTCAGATCCCCACCCAGGCTCCGGGAGAGCACAGTACCATTATCTTGGGATCCAGCTCCTATGGCCAGGCGGGAGAACTGGACAATAATATTCCATCAAAACTGTTTTTTATGGAAAATTAATGTTTGACAAAATGCAAGTTTTCATGAAAAGTCTCTGATTTTCATAGGAAATTTAATTTTTTCTTTGAAAAATTGAATGCCTGAAAACAAAAATATTTCAGTTTGGGAAAGCTGCTGCAATGCCTCATGGGATTTGTAGTTTGGTTCCCTCATTTGCCCATTCTCCTCTATGGGGCCAGGCTCCCTGGTGGACTACATCTCCCATGTTGCACCCTCACCAGAAACTCCCATGGTACACTCCGTCCACTGCCAAGATTATTTTAGTTTTCAGACATTTTTAGGTGTAGGATGAACTTTTTTTGTATTTGAGTTTCTGCCAAAAAAAAAATCAAAATTTTCTGTGGCAGAAAAGAATTTTTTTTAACCTGCTCTACTGAAGCCTTCCTCAGAACTTGGAGGCTTTAGCTTGGGCCTGGGTAGAACTCCTCACCCCGTAGAAACAACTAGCACATTTTCCGGGGCAAGCACCAGCTGAAGAGTCAATGTGCCAAGGCAAACAGCCTGAGGTTTGCCTTGGAAGAATGATGCGGCAGAGAGCACCGAGACGCATTGTCCCCCACTCGCAGCCTTGCCTGCTCCTACTTGTGACCTCGAAGAGCCACACATTGCCAGGACTCCCATGAGAGGCAGACCGAGAGAAGCTGTGCACAGACCTACATGGCCTGAAACAACATTTGATTTGATTTGATTTTTTTAAACTGATGGTAAATCGCCCCTTGTCTAGACGTCAGACCTGCTTTCTGAGTCACGTTTTTATTCAGTAAAATGTCTACTCCTTGAAAGGCTGCCACACCCCTTTTACTTGCGTTTGAGAGAATCACTGTTCACTAGAACCTAAACAGGCTAGACGTCTGGGTCAGGACAGATTGTAAAGCAGTTCTGAGTCTGTTTTACAAGAGCCATTCACCACTTTGCAGCAATCTGCCAGTGCTGGGTAGCCTGGAATCCATATTTCACGTGGCAGCAGGGCTAGCAGACCACAGCTAACCAGGGATTTAATTTTAACAGAATGATTAAAAGTCTGTGCCTTTAATATAGGTCTTGGCTGCTCATATTCCTTCCATGGCTGGAGACTGGGGACTCCAATACGTGGGAATGTCATCCTTGCTCCAACGGAGCTCCAAGTTGAGATGACATTAATAAATCACTGGAAGAGGTGAGGTGGAAAGTTTCTCAGCTTACAACTTTGCATGGCTTGTGACAAATATGGCCAGAACTGCAGGCTGGAAGATATTCTAGACCAGGCAGCTTGCTAAAAGTTTGCTTCCATGGTGATCTGTGAGTTAGTCTGTCAGAGTTCCCTCCTCACTCTGAACAATAGGGTACAGACGTGGGGACCCGCATGAAAGACCCCCTAAGCTTATTTCTACCAGCTTAGGTTAAAACTTCCCTAAAGCACAAATTCTTTGCCCTTGGAGGGTACGCTGCCACACCAAGTAATTTAACAAAGAATCAGGGAAAGGAACACTTGGAGTTCCTATTCCCCCAAAATATCCCCCGAAGCCCTTACACCCCCTTTCCTGGGAGGCTTGAGAATAATATCCTAACCAATTGGTTACAGATGATCACAGACCCAAACCCCTGGGTCTTAGGACAATAGAGAAATCAGTCAGGTTTTTAAAAGAAGGATTTTATTTTAAAAAAAGGTAAAAATCACCTCTGTAAAATCAGGATGGAAAATAACTTCACAGGGTAACAAAAGATTCAAAAACAGAGCAGAACTTCCTCTAGGCTTAGTTTCAATGTTACCAAAAACAGGAATAAACCTCCCTCCAGCAAAGGAAAAATTCACAAGCAGAACAAAAGATAATCTAACATGCCTTGCCTGGCTTTTACTAACAAGTTTTGTAATATGAGAGACTTTTAGGATGGTGTCAAGGTTCCTTCCCCACTCTGAACGCTCGGCTACAGATGTGGGGACCTGCATGAAAACCCCCCTAAGCTTACTTTTACCAGCTTAGGTTAAAACTTCTCCAAGGTACAAACTATTTTACCCTTTGCCCTTGGACTTTCGCAGCCACCGCCAAACGTCTAACCGGTATTATTATTATTAGGAAAGAGCCCATTTGGAAACATCTTTCCCCCCAAAATCCTCCCTTACCTTTACACCCCCTTTCCTGGGGAAGGCTTGATAAAAATCCTCACCAATTTGCATAGGTGACCACAGACCCAAACCCTTGGATCTTAAGAACAATGAAAAAGCATTCAGTTTCTTAAAAGAAGAATTTTATTAGAAGAAAAAATAAAAGAATCACCTCTGTAAAATCAGGATGGTAAATACCTTACAGGGTAATTAGATTTAAAACATAGAGAATCCCTCTAGGCAAAACCTTAAGTTACAAAAAGACACAAAAACAGGAATATCCATTCCATTCAGCACAGCTTATTTTCTCAGCCATTTAAAGAAATCATAATCTAATGCATATGTAACTAGATTACTTACTAAGTTCTAAGACTCCATTCCTGTTCTGTCCCCGGCAAAAGCATCACACAAACGGAGAGAGAGGCTTTGTTTCTCACTTCCCCCAGCTTTTGAAAGTATCTTGTCTCCTCATTCGTCATTTTGGTCAGGTGCCAGCGAGGTTACCTTAGCTTCTTAACCCTTTACAGGTGAAAGGGTTTTTCCTCTGGCCAGGAGGGATTTTAAAGGTGTTTACCCTTCCCTTTATATTTATGACAGATGGTTTATAGGAGAAGGAGTTTTCTGACCTGATGCTTCTCTGCTTCCCAAGAGAACACACACAACAAAGCCTCCCCTCAAGATTTGAAAGTATGTTCTTTCCCCATTGGTCCTTTTGGTCAGGTACCAACCAGGTTATTTGAGCTTCTTAACCCCTTACAGGTAAGGAGGAATTATAGGCTACCCTTAGCTGTATAGTTATGACACTCCCCACATATCACAGACGGTGCTGGACAGCCTGTACCACACTTGCTGTGATTTCTTCCTTGAGCTCTAGGAGAAAACAGAGTTAATAAGACACATGCACCTCTAGATATACTACTGATTATATAAAAAACTAACAATATTTTCCACATTTCAAGGATGATTTTAACCAGTTGATTCTGGGAAACTTTCACGGGAGAGTGCATCAACCACTTTGTTAGAAGCTCCTGAAATGTGTTGTATTTCAAAATCAAAATCTTGGAGAGCTAAAATCCACCAAAGAAGTATTTTTGTTATTGTCCTTGACGGTATGAAGTCACTTCAGCGCAGCATGGTCTGTTTGCAGGTGGAAATGCCATCCCCAAATTTATGGGCATAGCTTTTCCAGAGCATACACAATGGCGTAACATTCCTTTTCGCTGATTGACCTGTGACTTTCCCTCTCAGACAGTTTCTTGCTGAGAAAGACAACAGGATGGAACTCTTGATTCAGTCCTTCCTGCATTAAAACTGCTCCCACACTACGCTCGGATGCATCTGTGGGTACTAGGAACGGTTTATCAAAGTCTGGGGCCCTTAGCAAAGGATCAGACATTAGTGTTGCTTTAAGCTGGTTAAAGGCCTTCTGACACTCTTCAGTCCACTGAACTGCATTTGGCTGTTTCTTTTTGGTTAGGTCTGTCAGTGGGGCAGCGATTTGGCTGTAGTGTGGTACAAATCGCCTGTAATATCCGGCCAAGCCTAAGAAGGATTGGACCTATTTCTTTGACTTTGGGACAGGCCACTTTTGGATAGCATCCACTTTGGCCAGTAGGGGGTTGATAGTTCCTTGATCCACCTGGTGTCCAAGGTAAGTCACTCTGTTTCGGCCTATTTGATACTTTTTAGCCTTAACAGTTAGTCCTGTCTCTCATATGCGCTCGAAGACCTTCCGGAGATGCTGCAGGTATTCTGCCCATGAGTCAGAAAATATGGCCACATCGTCAAGATAGGCAACTGCAGATTCTTCCAATCCCGCTAGGAGACTATCTACAAGTTTCTGGAAGGTGGCGAGTGCATTTCGCAGTCCGAAAGGGAGCACATTAAATTCATACAACCCGACATGTGTGGTGAAGGCTGACCTTTCCTTGGCGGATTCATCCAGTGGTGCTTGCCAGTACCCCTTGGTTAAGTCTAAGGTAGAGATGAACTGGGCCTGTCCCAGTTTCTCCGATAGCTCATCTGTGTGTGGCATTGGATAGTTGTCTGGGCGAGTTACAGCATTTAGCTTACGGTAGTCCACGCAAAAACGTATTTCCCCATCCAGTTTGGGAACTGGAACCACTGGAGATGCCCATGCACTGTTAGAGGGGCGGATTACCCCCATCTGTAGCATGTCCTGGATCTCCTGTTCTATAGCAATTTTGGCTTGAGGAGACACCCGGTAAGGTTGGGCTCTAATTGGGTGAGCATTACCTGTATCAATGGAATGGTATGCCCATTTGGTCCATCCTGGGGTGGCTGAGAACATCGGCGCGTAGGTAGTGCACAGCTCCTTGATCTGCTGTTGCTGCCTATGCCCAAGCGTCAGGGAGAGGTTCAACTCTTCCACGCCACCCGCACTTTTCCCTTCGTAGTAGACACCTTCAGGCCACTCAGCGTCGTCTCCTCCCTGGGCTGTAAACTGACAAACCTTTAATTCTCTGGAATAAAAGGGCTTTAGAGAATTAACATGGTACACTTTAGGCTTTAGGTTTGAGGTAGGGGATGCTATGAGATAGTTAACAGCTCCCAGGCGCTCTTGGACCGTAAATGGCCTTTCCCACGACGCTTCCATCTTATGGGCCTGGAGCGCCTTTAAGACCATGACCTGGTCCCCTACTTTGAAGGAACGTTCTCTGGCATGTTCATCATACTCTCTTCCTGAGCATCTTTTAGGTTTTCTCTAGCAAGGCTAAAGAAGTTCGGAGGGTGTTTTGTAGGTCGGTTACAAAGTCCAGAATGTTAGTTCCTGGAGAAGGTGTAAATCCCTCCCATTGCTGCTTCACCAGCTGTAATGGCCCCTTAACCTTGTGGCCATATACAAGTTCAAATGGTGAAAACCCTAAACTGGGATGTGGTACAGCCCTGTAGGCAAAGAGCAACTGCTGCAAAACTAGGTCCCAATCATTGGAGTGCTCATTTACGAATTTACGTATCATGGCCCCCAAAGTTCCATTAAACTTCTCCACCAGGCCATTTGTTTGATGGTGGTAAGGGGTTGCAACCAAATGGTTCACCTCATGAGCTTCCAACAGGCTTTGCATGGTCCCTGCCAGGAAATTAGTTCCCGAACCTTTAAGGATGTCGGAGGGCCAACCTTCCCTAGCAAAAATGTCTGTTAATGCCTGGCACACACTTTTAGCCCTGGTGTTGCTTAGAGCTACTGCTTCCAGCCATCGGGTGGCAAAATCCATGAAAGTCAGTATGTACTGCTTTCCTCTGGGTGTCTTTTTTGGGAAAGGACCCAGAATATCCACAGCTACTCGCTGAAATGGAACCTCAATTATGGGGAGTGGCTGGAGAGAGGCTTTGGCCTGGTCTTGGGGTTTTCCCACTCTTTGGCACACCTCACAAGACCGGACATAGCTAGAAACATCCTTGCCCATTCCCTCCCGTGGAAGGACCTCCCCAAACGGTCTTTGGTCCTGCTCACCCCAGCATGGCCACTAGGATGATTGTGGGCTAAGCTTAATAGCTTTACCTGGTACTTAGTTGGAACTACCAACTGTCTCTGAGGATGCCAGTCTTCATGGTGCCCACCAGAAAGAGTTTCCTTGTATAAAAGTCCTCTTTCTACAAGAAACATGGATCAATTAGAAGAACTGAGAGGCGGTGGGTTGCTCCGGGCTGCCGTCCAAGCTCCCTGGAGGCTTTCATCTACTTCCTGTTCAGCCTGGAATTGTTCCCTTGATCAACTGTCCACTGGATTGTGGACTTGGGCTTGGTCCCTCTGGAAGCGATGCAGGTGATGGGGCTGTTTCTGTTGACTGTGAACCGCTCTCCGCTGGGGCACTATGTGGTATTTCAGGCTCTGGTGGAGCCTCTTATGTAGGGTTATCTGCTGCTTTTGCCAGTGCAGGATCGGTGGTGCTCTCTGGTGTTGGAGCTGTAGATGGGGTTGCAAGTGCTGGACTCAGTGCTGGCAACGGTTCTGGTGCTGGTTGCTTTGCCAGTTCCGGTTCTGGGACTGGCTTTGGCTGGGTCTCTGTGACTGGATCCACTACTGCTGTCGCAGATGTTGGCATGGGGTCTGGTTCCACCACCTCAGTCTGGGTCTCTGGTAACACAGATTGGGCCCTTGTAGAAGGCTCAGGAACAGAGCTAGGTGTGACAGCTCGCTTAGCCTGGCTGCGGGTGACCGTTCCCACCCTCTTGGCTAGCTTCACATGGTTGGCCAAGTCTTCCCCCAGCAGCATGGGAATGGGATAATCATCATAGACTGCAAAAGTCCACATTCCTGACCAGCCCTTGTAGTGGACAGGCAACTTGGCTGTAGGCAAGTCAAAAGAGTTTGACTTGAAGGGTTAAATCGTCACTTGGACCTCTGGGTTGATTAAGTTGGGGTCCACTAAGGATTGGTGGATAGCCGACACTTGTGCTCCAGTGTCCCTCCACGCTATAACCTTCTTTCTGCCCACACTCACAGTTTCCCTTTGCTCTGAGGGTACCTGGGAGGCATCTGGGCCTGAGGACCTTTGGTGTGACTCCGGTGTAATGAACTGCAGTCTGTTGGGGTTCTTGGGGCAGTTGGCCTTCACATGCCCCGGCTCGTTACATTTAAAACATCGCCCAGCTGACTGGTCACTGGGGCGAGGTGGGTTGCTGGAGATGGGTGTGGTGGGACAATAAGGTGTTTGGGGTTTTCCTTGGATGTAGGTGGGGCCGTGGGCTGCCCCCAGTGGTAGGGTGTCGTCTCGGGTTGCCCCTTCTGATATCTGCTCCAACTGCTACCAGTTTTTTTCTTTTCCGCCACCTCCACCCATTTGGTTCCAATCTCCCCCGCCTCGATTACTGTTTTGGGCTTCCCATCTAGGATGTACCGTTCTATTTCCTCAGGAACATGCTCTAGGAACTGCTCCATTTGCATCAGGAGAGACCGATCTTCCCGAGATTTGATGCGTGCTCCTCATATCCAGGCATCCCAATTTCTTACAACGTGGTCGGCGTGTTGGGAAAATGCCACGTCCAGTTTCCACCGTAGGGCTCTGAACCGCCAACGGACAAGGCTTGGGTGTTAGCCCCATTCTGATTCTGGCCTGTTTTTTAAAAAGTTCAAAACTGTTCATGTGTTCCTTAGGCATTTCAGCCGCCACCTCTTCTAAGGGTCCACTGAGCTGCGGCCTCAGCTCCACCATGTACTGGTCTGTAGAGATGTTGTACCCAAGGCAGGCCCTTTCGAAATTTTCTAAGAATGCCTTGGTATCATCGCCTGCCTTGTCGGTGGGGAACTTTCTGGGATGGGAAGTGGTACCTGGAGAAGGATTGTCTAGTATATTGCCAGGGTTGTCTGGTATATTCTGCTTAGCCCTTTCCATCTCTAAGCGTTTTGTCTCTAACTCCAGTTCATGCTTCCTCTCTCTTTCTTTATCCTCCAGTTCATGCTTCCTCTCTCTTTCTTTTA